TAATAGCTTAAATCTACTTAGGATAAACAAATGTAGTTTCATGTTACAATTTGAAGTCATTCTACAAAGAAAAAGGGATAATTTAGATTTATTTAGATTTTTTTTTGGTGGTTACAAGGTTGGTCAAATAGACCGATCCTGTATAGAGATAGAGAAAATAACAAATAGAATATAAAGTTTTACTGAAAAAAACATTTGAAATGTATCTAGGAAGTTATAACAATTTAAAGATTTCATATGTTTGCATGTTGGGTGAAACACAGATGATCGAATTTTCTGTGTTTAGAAGATAATTTATTGCTTTTATTTTTGCATGTATAACCAAATCAATGTTGGATAAACCTGCATTGTAGGAGGGTTTACTGTATATATATGTAACAGTTGTGTTAGATTCTTTATGAATTTCTAAAAGGTTTGAGATTTTGGTAATTAATATGTTAGAGCTGAATTTCAAGTCATTCAAGACAGATGGGGAAAATTTATTGATTAGCAAGGAAAGTACTAAAAAGTAATAAAATAAGTTGCCCAACATAACAATGGTACCATACAAGCTGCTAAACAACCATAAAACTCAAAAATACAAAATACTTAAGAACACCCATTACATAATTTTAAGCCTTTCTCTGTTAATTTTAAATTTGTCCAACTTTTCATATAACTTAGAAATGAATACTACAATTTTTTTCTTTCATAATTTCTTAATTTTGTGAAGATATTAACAATATCAAAATAGGCCTAGATTTAATCTTGACTTCCCACCTCAGTACATTTGATAGCAAAAAAATGGTTTTGAAAACAGCAGATAAGTTACCACTTTTAATTTGTAGGACTTGGAAGGATAAATGGCTTGGCTAACTGTCTTCTGGGTCATGGTATAAAGAAGTCATCTGGATATTTAATAAGTGCAGCACGTGAACATAACAAGTGTATAATCATCTATATCTTCAGAGTTGAAGTTGTTGTTTTCTTTCTGATTTGATAAGTCTTGTATGACAAGAACAGCTAGCTGTTGTCTGTGTGTGTGACCTACCCTAGTCCTGTAATCAGATTAAGTAATTGATCCTGTCTTTTGAAACACATTTTTCCTAGTTCAAAACAAAAATGCTGTGTGATTTTATTGATTGATTAGAGCATCAACAGTGTATTTAATTTTGAACCTAATTGCTTTTAATAATTAAAAAGAATGAGAGCTGCTTCAAAAGCTTAAAAAGTAATTAAATTAGTTGCTGAATTAGCACTGTGTTTTTATAACTAATTGGGCTGCTTTATTTGATATGACTCCATTATAACTAGTTTTTTTCTGGATTTAAATTTCATTGTAGATTTAATTTGGTTGTGAGAAAAAGAAATTGTTAAAGACGCATGAGATTTCTTATTTGATCTTGTTGGTTGTAGATGTAGAAGGGACTGAAATGTGCTGGGGTAACACAAGTTACTTGATGAGTAAGGTTCAGTTTCACAAATTCTATTCCTGCTTCTCTATTTTGTTTAATTAGTTACTATATGCCACATCTCTAATTCTACCTTGTTTTTGTAGCTTGCCCGATGTTCAGAAGACCCCTCTGCAGCCACTGAGATGATGTCCAAAACAGAGCTTCTGACTTGTATAACTGAATGTCTTGCTATTGAAGACATTAATATAGCTCAAAATGCTTGCACCATACTAAAAAACCTTGGAAAAGACATTCAGGTTCTCTGTGTGTTGATTTCACAACCAGTCATGGATGCCATCAATGGTGTAATTCAACAAGGGGACATACCTCGATTTAGAATGTTAGAGGTAATACATTGAAGTAAAAAAAATTAAACTTGCATTGTAACTCATTTGAAAATTATCTGCATTAATGTAACAGCTTCCTAGATATATACAAAGTCCAAAGGCATATTTTTACAGTTGAAGTTGGGTTTAAAACAAAAACATGACATACCTTCAGAAGAACTTTTTTGAGATCTTGTTCAGCATTTTGGATACTAACTTTCTTTTGTAATTTGCAGCATACACAGAGATACACGTATAACTGATTACAGCATTACACAATCAGAGATACCAATTTAACTGATTACAACATACACAATCAAGATTACCCATTTAATTGACTGCAGCATACACAATCAAAGATACACATATAAATTATTGCAGCATACACAATAAGAGATACACATGTAACTAATTGCACCATACACAATCACAGATACCCACTTAACCCTTTCTATATAGTTGCACTTTTCTGAGTTACATTAAAAATTTAATTAAACTGCTTTATTATCAATGAATATGGATAAACTTGACATCAACACGTAGTTAATAAATTAAATTTTAATAGCATAAAATGTTTAAGTTCTGAATTTTGTAAGGAAATATTTTTAAAAATCCTCATTCTCCCCTAGTATGAGAATTGTAACATTTGCTTTCTAGGTCTCCCTCTCTTTAATTTATTTACCACCTCTCCAAGAAGTACAGAATTTAATGTAAATTACTCATTATAATATAAGTAATAGTCAGGCTAATTTTATTTTTTAGTCTTCAATTTTATTTGGTTACAGAGCCATAAGCTAAGGAAATCAGACATGCTTGCCACACCCACCTGTCCCATCCTCTTTCACACAAATTGCCAGCAGTTCTCTCTTTCATTTAATACTGTTATTTATAACCAAGAGAAAGCTAATGTTTTAATCTATCAAATGTTGTCTTATATTATATTGTTTTCTGTACAGAAAATTGTCTATTTTGCCACCAATTCAAAACTTTATTCCTGTGTGAAACACATCAACAAGCTAAGGTGAATTGTAACAGCTCTTATCATGTAGTTAGAAAGCCAGAAAAATTATGATAGTTATAGGACATTGTTTACTTTTTGCATGTTATTATTTTGTGTTCTTAGGTGCAGTATTTAATGTAAAAAATTATTTAGTGTACTATTACCCTTAGTACAACAAAGTAGGCTTAAGTTTCGACAGTCAACAGCAAATAAATGAAGACCCAGGTAAGTACTATGTTTCTTGTTTTTCATGTAAATTCTTATTTGTTATTATAAAAGTAACTAAATTATAAGAATCAGAAACTTATTGGGTTAGATTAGTGAGCTGATGAAAGAAAAAATCTTATGCTCCTCCATTGCATAATTCGATATGGTTATATGAGCTGTACGTTTGCCGAGCGATTTACAACTCTTGTGGTGGGATTATAAGTTAGACATGGTTCAAAGGTCAATAAAGTTAAGTATAAATAGATGTACGAGGCCTGTGAGAAAAGTATCCGACCTTTGGCCGGGGAATAAAAACTGGCATACCTGGAGCGTTGGAAACCTAATCAAGTGGAATGTGCTGACTGTTTTCTTTGACTCCCGCGGTGTGGTACACCACGAGTACGCACCACAGGGTCAAACAATCACCAAAGAGTACTACAGGGATGTCCTCCGTCGCCTACGTGATGCTGTGCGGCACAAGAGACCGGAGTTGTGGTCAACAGAAAATTGGCGCCTCCATCCCGACAATGCTCCACCATATTCCTCGCACTTGATTCAGACT